AACGGCCACTAGGGTAATACCTAAATCTATGGATTTTACCATGTTGATGTCACATTTGCTTCGCCACACAAGTACGGTAGCCGCGGGCGGGAATGCAGAGGTCCTCCGGAAGCAGACTTCTACAGCAAGTGGTACGAGACAGAACGACAGCGAGAAAGACGGACATTGCGAGCGCAAGACAGTTTGTGTCAAACATAAAAACCTGCGGCTTATAGTCCGGTGCGACTTGTATATGTACAAATCATGCAATTTAGCTTCTGCGGCTTATATTCAGGTGTCCGAAAATTACGGTATTTACATTTCACAGTGAATTGCTTTGTATTTGATCTACTTTCTATTTTCTAACATTAGACACAATGTCGATGGCTAACTCTGTCAATGTTTTCGAGTCAGTCTGAGATAGCCAGACTGATGTTACGCTCCATACTATACTATATAAACACATCAAAATACAGTAGCAGCCATTAAAAATGGCCCTTCCCAGTCAAAAGCCAGCCGAATGTCAGCCAAATCCCCTCCAACTTCCAGCCACTGGCCTTCACCTGGACTCCACCCTTTCACTGAATGACAGGGTCTGACCAGGAGACGACGCTTCACTTTAGATCTTAAAGGAATAGTACACCCAAAACATGATTAGCCTTCATTTACTACTCACCCCCATGCTGAACAACACTCTGGAGTTCAAATAATGGAGGTCTATGGCGCCCGAGGCAGAAAGGTCCATAAAAGTCCAAACCAGATGAAAGTGCGCATTCAGCTCGGCAAAGAACTCATGCTCTTCCTCAACACTGAAGTCCTCAGACATTTTTCTTTCGTTGTTTCTTTCTTTGCAGAGAGTCGTGAACGCGCTTTTAGGAAATCCTATACACTACTGTTTATGCTCTAAAAACATTCTAAATGACTTCGTTTCGAGTAAATTCTGGACGCTACCCACTCAGGACACTTGGAATACATTGGACGAGCAGTATGGAGGAATATTGACACGTTTTTTGTGGACTTTTATGGACCTTTCTGCCTCGGGCGCCATAGACCTCCATTATTTGAATGTCAGCAGACAGCAAGAAGCCTCCCAGATCTCCAGATGCATTTGAGATATCAAAAAAGTACTGCAGAGTGTTGTTCAGCATGGGGGTGAGTAGAAAATGAAGGCTAATCATGTTTTGGGTGTACTATTCCTTTAATGTCCACAAATCGTGACAGAATATTTTAGATGTTTAAAAAGGAATTGTAGGGGACCAGCAAAGGGCCCATCATGAAATTTTGCGGACATTTTGAACGGCTACTACTGTATATATGGATTTTCTTTGTTCGTCCACTGACTGTAAAACACTACACATGTAGGAATTTTAATGGTGCATCTCAATGAGAGATGGGAATACCAAGATGGCGGCAGGTGACTTCAATGTTTTCGGGCTATCAGCAATCCAGAGAATAGAGATCAGTTGGCCAAGGAAGTATAATAATCAGGGTACAGAGGATGTGGACATGAAATGTTTGAACGTTTTCCCTCTCTTTAAACATTGATATAACAGATTCATGAGTGGTACCCTGAGCTGCTTGGCCCAGATGGAAACAAACAGCAGTGTTTTCCATAACGGGTGTCGACTGTTTTTGATCCGGTGTGGATGACTGTCTGTGTGATGTTCTCCTGAGCTTCTCTGATCCGTGGCCCAATTCATGCTGGGTTCACAGGCTTCTATTCAACGTTTCTGCAGCTGTTTGATAATTTTGTGATTCTGGGTGCTGTTTCTGTGAAAACCTGCAGAAACTGCTGTTTGCCCCTGTAGTGTGTCTGAACATGCAGTAGCAGCCATTCAAAATGGCCCTTCCCAGTCAAAAGCCACTCCAATGGCAGCAAAATCCCCTCCAACTTCCAGCCACTGGCCTTCTCCTGGGCGTGCATATTTTTTTACTCTGACAATTACCCAGAATTACAGGGTCTGGCCCGGAGATAACGCTTCTCTTTAGATCTTAATGTCCACAAATGATGACAGAATATTTTAGATGTTTAAAAAGTAATTGTAGGACCAGCCGAAGCCGAAATTTTGAACGAATCGATAAAAATCGACTTTTAAAAGCGTTGGCAACAAATTTCATCATCGATTAGTTGTGTCGCGCGATTAATGCGTCATCCGCCGCCGCCGTCGTCATTGCCGTGGGGCGCCTCCCCCATCCCAACCCCGTTCTCCCGCAGGAGTCCCTCTCAGCGCTGCAGTCAAAGCCGCAGGATGTTTACCCTCAGCGTCCAGACTGCAAATGAAGCGCGAGTGCGCCGGGATTGACGGCGCAAATCGATCACAATAATTAAAATAGCCTGCGCTTTGTAAAGTGAAAAAAGTCGTAACATGCAACTTTTGTAAAAACAAATGAACATGGCACAGAAGCACCACTGTTATGATGCAGCACCTGAAAAGGAAACACGTTGGAGCCTCGATGGCGTGAAGAGAGCTGATCAGCAGGATGAGCGGCCATGTTTGTTTGGTTTTAAAGTGGGGAAACGTAACGTTAGTTTCTCAGGTAGCTCATCTGATGCTTTCCTTACCGTCTTAGTAGGTTACAGACAGTGATAAGGTTGGCTACTTATTTTACTTTTAATTTCATTTGAATTAGCTTAAGCAGCGTTTATATTTACTTTATAAATAAATTAACTTGCAAATTATGAGGGCAAGGCTTTTAAAGTTTAAATCTTCTGGCAAAGATAAAGTAAAGATCCTGCAATTTATGGAAGTAAAGCAGAATAAAATCCAGCAAGATCAGTAATATGTCCATTAATTATATGCCACATTCCCATGTAAATATCTGTCTTTGGAGGATGTGTTTTTTAGCACCCCTAGTTCTCTCATTTTTATTCCAAATACAATTTATAATTTGAATCACAGGGCTATTTTTATCTCTATGGTTCAGTATTTTCTCAAGTAGCAACTTTAACTGCTATACTTTCCTGTCTTAAAAGGTAGAACTCTTATTAGTCTAAAAAAAAAAACTCATTTGTTGAAATGGGGGGACCTATTGTTTGAACCCCTTAGGGGCTTTAAAAAACAAAAATGTCTTTTTTTGCACTTTATGAAACAAAGTACCCTATATTTTGTGGATGTACAGCTACATTTCTCATGTAAGTTTGCGTAGTTTTAACACAAACATTTATTTTTCATATTGCACCAGTACAGTTAATGAGCAACCTGTACTTGTGTGCTTGTTTGTTCTGTCTAAAATGTTTATTTTGGAATAAAGAGGTTAATATAAAAAATATTTTTTGTCCGATTCATCGAAAAAATAATAGGCCGATTCATCGATTTTTAAAATAATCGTTAGTTGCAGCCCTAGTGATGATGCCACCGTGCTGAATGGACCATAGTGGACGGTATTTTAGTCAATTGCTCTGTTTATAAATGTAGCACTGATCATTTGCATAAAGCAAAGCAGACACTCGGTGACTTCCTCTGGTTGGCTATCAGTGGCTAAACATTTGTATGTGGAAATAAATGAAACTGAGCACAGGAAAACACCAGTAGAGCTGAGAAATGTTTAGATCTTCTTTCAGTTGGACGTCGTACGTGAATCCAAAGGTTGTAGGCCATCTGTTAATTAAGCTGTGCATCATCAGCATTTTTGGGGTAGACTTTTTTTTTCTTTAAAGTTGTGTCATTTGACGTCACATCGGGGAATCAGATAGTGGGTGCTGCTTCAGCTCTTTGAACAGTTGAAGTAGTGATCGGGTAGCGCTGACGTGAGTTTTTAGATTGAGTTCACTGATCATAAAGGCGGTTAAATATCTCGTCTGCAGGGGGGCTTCACACACTCTGCTGAATGATGCTGATGTGAAAGGAACTAGGTCTCTCAGGGGGACTGGGATCCCACCGCTGTTCCAGTCCTGTAGCCGATCTAACTGGAGCAAACGGTTCAGTAAACAGATTAGTGGATGGCTGCTTGGGATGAATAGAAATACTGGAAACTCTGAATAGAGGGAAGAAAATTAAATCTCTTCCCTTTCGCTGCACACAGGAAGCAGTGGACCTCACTCCACCTGTAACTGGACTTTCTCACTGCTTAACCCCCCATTTTTTGTGTTAAAAAACTGTTTCTAGTTCTTATGAGCATGCTAAATCTCTCGGAATGATGTCTGTGGTTCAGGAAAATAGCAGGATGCTGCTGGACTAAACAATCCTGCACCGCCCCTGATTGCTCTCGTTTTTTCTCTTTTGGCCATTGATTCTCCCTCCCGGTCATCTGAACGCCCCCAAATCCCTGAACGGTTTCAGTGGTCAGGCCGCTTGTCTCTAAGGGTGCGTTTAGACCGTCGGATGCAGTCGTTACACTCTGGACCACATCGTAAAATAGGAGGAGCTCCAGCTGAGTAAAGCTGACGCCCCACTGAGTTAAAAAAAACAAAAAACGTAGCAATTAGACTAAATGGTTTGTGCTTCATTAGTGCACGTTTGGGCATTTTAAATGGTTATTGGTAAAGATATAAACATAAATTGAAAAAGTTATTTTAAAACGAATCGTGTTTCAGAGATATTAAACATCATTTTTAGGTCAACCAAAAGTAAACTTGCTTCAATTAGTTTATTTCCAGAGCACCAATTCACAACACGTCATCTCAAGGCTCTTTACAGATACAATTCAACCAGATCATCCAGTCACATTGATTCAAAGTTTTCTATCTAAGTTAAAGCAGTTGATTGCATCGACTCAATGACTCTTCAGTAATCCCTTTACTGAATAGAATAGAATAGAAACCTTTTCTATTATTCGCTGTTATAACCTTCAGGAACAGGTTATGTTCTCAAGTTATTTTTACTGATAAACATTTATTACTGTTTTCAAGGCTGCACTTCAAAAAATGAAATTGTATAGAGCTGTTTTAAACTAAATTTCTGGTTGTATACACTCGTGTAAACAAAATAAATCTAAGTTTTCTTCCTTGACGCTGCGGTTACTCCATGTCTTTCCTTCCTGCTGTTTCCATGGAGTTGAACCTTCTTTTCCTTCTTTTCCAGTGTCATCCAGGCTCCATTACCGCTTCCTGTAGACAAGGTAAGGCCAGCAATATGTGGTGTTGTGCTTTCCGATGTGTTATCTAAGCTTTGTGTCTAATATTTGAATGAATCAATCAATCAGAACATTAAATCTGTTCTTCCTCTAATATATAGTTATCATATAGAGGAATGCTGGATCAATGGCAGCCTTTATTTTAGAACGGCATAAAGGTTTGTTGACCTTTGTGTTTTTGTGTAGCGAACATTTTAATAGAAATAATTAACCCAGATATTTAGTCTAGAGGAATAACTGATAAATAATAATATAGATTTTCCCAAAGGACCCTGCCATTGTTCTGCGTACTTTAATTTCCCAGTAGTTGTTAAACTAGATGGAATATTTGAAGAAAGGCTTGGACCTCGCTGTCTGAAAAGATAAATGACTGATGGGTTGTGATGTCACTCTGACCCTTTAGTAATGTTTTTCTACCTGTCAGTAGTAGCCATAAAGATAATGAAGCAACTAAACAGGCTCTAGCCAATACACTTCATGCAGTTATTTCCAATGCAACAAGTTTTTCAGGCTTCCTTCTTCTTCCAGCTCATCTAGACAATCGGCTGCTTGTCTGCAAAGCTCAGTTATTTTGCCGTTAGCTAGATAGCCCAGCCTCTCATGGGTTAGGCATTTTAAATAACTGGCAGCAATAACTGAACATTATCACAGCTTTTAAAGAAACTTGTTGCAGCACAGTTTTGATTTCAGTCACTTTTGTTTTTGTCTGCTGATGACAAATTACATAGGTAGCTAAAAGTGTTGCTTTTTTTTTTTAAACTCAAATGGTTGTACTTCTTGGCCCGCTATGCTCTGATAACCCCACCCACAGGTTGGTGGGAGGCTCTGGAAAATGGAAAATAACCGTACCTTTGCAGAGTGGAGTAGAGCCAAGCCTTTATACACTTTTATACAGAAATAAGAGGTTGACTCTGTCCAAACACACAGCTTACCCCTACATGCTAGTGTGGCCTTAGTTAGGCCTGTTAACTTTAAAGGAAAAGTCCGGTCAGCAAGGAATAATCAATGGATCATTATTTATTCCTACAACTAATACGGTCGCAGTGATTTTTTTAATTTAGCGTTAATCCGTCAAAAAATAAAACTAATCATGTTCTTCGTGATCAGAGTCTGGGAGCGGCCATTTTTGCCCAAATATAGTAACCCCTCCCTCCTGCCATCTTCCAGCAGTGACGTCACGGTGCGGTAAGCCTAGCGCCATTCTCACCGCTTTACAAGCAAAATCAATGGGAACTACTAGACACATCTGCAATCAACAACAATTATTGAAGATTTCCAGAGGACTTCACCATTGAAATTCACCAGAGCTGTAGTGAAACTGACAATGCCCTCCCAGTTGATCTTGGTTCTTTAGCGCAATATTGCAAACCAATCGTAAAAAATCTTGGTGTAAAAGTAGACTCAGACCTTAAACTTGACAGTAGTGAAATCTAGTTCCAGTTAAGACGGCTGGCAAAGATCAAACCAGTCCTTCAGAGACGGCACTTTTTCTTTGTGACCACTGGATTACTGTAATGCACTTTATAAGGGGATTACTGGGTCCTCAATTGCTCGTCTTCAACTGGTACAAAATGCTGCTGCACGTCTTTTAACTGGCAAACGTAATTACGAGCACATTTCACCTATTTTAGCTTCACTCCACTGGCTGCCCATCCATCCGTCCAGAATTTACTAGAAACGAAGTCATTTAGAATGTTTTTAGAGCATAAACAGTAGTGTATAGGATTTCCTGAAAGCGCGCCCGCACGTTCACGACGCTACGGAAGCCGGCAGACCAAACCAGATGAAAGTGAGCATTCAGCGTCTGCTCTGCCGATAATGCAAGCGTAGAAGAAGAAATGTGCTGTTTACCTGTGCAAAGAAAGAAACAATGAAAGAAAAATGTCTGAGGACTTCAGTGTTGAGGAAGAGCATGAGTTCTTTGCCGAGCTGAATGCGCACTTTCATCTGGCTTGGTCTGCCGCGGTTTCCGTAGACTCGTGAACTCGCTTTTAGGAAATCCTATACACTACTGTTTATGCTCTAAAAACATTCTAAATGACTTCGTTTCGAGTAAATTCTGGACGCTACCCAATCAGGACACTTGGAATGCATTGGACGAGCAGTATGGAGGAATATTGACACGTTTTTTGTGGACTTTTATGGACCTTTCTGCCTCGGGCGCCATAGACCTCCATTATTTGAATGTCAGCAGACAGCAAGAAGCCTCCCAGATCTCCAGATGCATTTGAGATATCAAAAAAGTACTCCAGAGTGTTGTTCAGCATGGGGGTGAGTAGAAAATGAAGGCTAATCATGTTTTGGGTGTACTATTCCTTTAAACTCAGAGGGGATTCCAGCGTTTTCTGTTGCAGCTCCAAAACTTTGGAATGAATTGCCGCTGCAGATTAGACAGGCCACTTAAAATCCACCTCTTTTCTTTGGCTTTTGACACCATGTAGAGCATTGATTTCATGTATATACATGCATATTTTTATCCTGTGCGGGCAGTGCTTTTATTTTATTTACTTTTATTTATTTTTATTTTATCTTTTTGTGCAGCACTTTGGAAGCCTTGTGTTTATTGAAATGGTGCTATATAAATAAAGTGGATTGGATACATTCAGTTGTTCACCTAATGATGGTGGTGAGTCACATTTAGCGACCACTGCCCTGGTGCACGCTCACAGATATCAGGCTCCTGGCCCCTCTGAATACCATCAGTAGGCTACAGGTATAGAGTGTTTTTATCAAGGACACGACGACTGGGACGGACAGAGTGGGGGTTTCAACTGCAGACCTCCCTGGTTGCAGGACGATCTCCTGTCACCCCTCATCACAAAGACTATGAGCAGGTTAAACTCGACAGTTTAGACATCAAAGGTTGCGCTCTCTGTCTGCGGGGGTGAGCGACTGTGTCTGACTGTAGTTTATTGAAATACTGTAGCAGCATTATTGTTTACCTCATGTAATTACCACGATGCCTCTAAGAGAGTACTTAGAAGCATTTCTGTTCAATGGAAGCTCTAAGATGTTTTCCCCATTAAATGCCTGCAGTTGATCCGGAGGTACAGTGGCTCATTGTGTTTTGGCAGGACGTGGTTAGTTGGTTCACTGTTCAGTGTCTCCCTTCCAGGGAAACAGAAGGCATCAGGGGAATGTAGCTCAGGAATGCAGGGTGATGTTTGAGACGAGCTGTGATTAAATTTGAAGCTCAACTGTTCTCATTATCTGTCCTAAAGTAGGATCGTTACCTCCAGCTCTCAAAGATCAGTCACTCAGCCTATAGAGGCTCTCATTATAGGGGCCCTAAGGGGAAAGTCCGGTCAGCAAGAAATAATCAATGGATTGTTATCTATACCTAAAAACTACTACATTTGTGGTGATTAAATTAATTTAGCGTTAATTTAAAAAAGAAAAAGAAAAAAAAAACATCTTCCAGCAGTGACTTCAGGGTGCGGTAAGCCTTTACAATCAAAAATCAATGGGAACTACTAGACACATCTGCAATCAACAACAATTATTGAAGATTTCCAGAGGACTTCACCATTGAAATTCACCAGAGCTATAGTGAAACTGACAATGCCCACGTGCATGGCAGCTGGATGCTGGAATACATCGGGTAAAAGTGGAAAAAAAGAGTTATTCCACCTTTCTGATTCCTGATCCTCCACGGACGGGTTGGTCGTTGGATCGCCAACTTGAAGAGGGAGGATTTGCCATCGAACTTCTGGCCAGAGAAAAAACCCGTAATATGTAGCCAACATTTGGAAGAAGAATGTTTTCAAGATGACTTGGATAATAGCGCGTTGTGACAAACACCAGATACAGCACTGGGACTTGATCAACAGCCGATACCGCACCGTGACGTCACTAACCAGTAGGTGGCAGTAGTGTTCTTTGACAAACATGGATGCCTCCAGTAAAGCACATTCACATGGAAATTACTCTTAATTAAAAACATTTATTGAACAGGATGGAATAATTTCATTTTTAAACTACTTTCAGAAGTTTGAATTCTGAATATGAGCTGACATTTCCTTTAAGGTCCAGATTGCTGCTGAGTTTCTTTACACCCTGGACATTTAAACTTGGTCATTTTAACCCAGATATGTCAACAGAGCAACATTAGATCAGGTTTTTCAAATGTCTTTGAGTTCTATTCAGTAGGTCCCTGTACTTTGAAACATGGCCAGAAAGTCCTGATTGGCCCCAAAAAAGATAGTCAATAGAGCTGCATTCACAATCAGTTTTCATCTTTGTGTTTAAAAACAGCATTTTAATGAACAGAACATTTATCTGTAGTTTCAAGTTTGACTGATTTTAATTTGGATGATTGGGTTTCATTCATTAAACGTGAAGATTCTGCTGCTCCTGGAATCTCCAGCTGGGTTCACTGGCTGATCTGAAGCCTATCTGAAAGTTTACTATCAGAACCGTTTCTATGTTCCACTTTAGATTCATTGGCAGCTCTGTGTCGTCCTACCAGCTTAGAACTGCCTCTGAACTAAATCATCTGAATAAAACGATTCTGTATTTGTTTGCTTACAGCGTTTCTGTTCTTTTAGTGTTTTAATGATCTGTCCCATTTATTTAGGTCGCAGCCAACACTCCCAGTATGTACTCACAGGAACTCTTCCAGCTCTCCCAGTATCTACAGGTAAAATACTGACACCTACTGGTAGTTATCTGGCATTACAGCAGCTGCTTTCATACTTTTCATTTTCTTCCTTTACATTTATTTACCTGAAAGCACATTTAAGACTCTTTGACTTTTTTAAAACACACTGTCTTTATTATATTGGTTGTCTTACCTGCAATCCCCACTAGGTTTTTCATCCACTTTGCAGAACCTACCATGTTGATTCTGTAGTTTAGTAAAAAAAAGTTCAATTCAAACATAAATAAACATTTCAGGTATTTTTTAACCAGTTTTTTAATTTTAGTAATTTGTGTTCTACTTTAGAACATAAAAAGATTAACTGTCTGAATTTAAGCTTAGCCTCAAAGTACAATTTTCCATAATTCAGTGACTGTTTAGACGTTTTATTGGCCTTTCCTGGATGAGTAGAAAAGTGTTTTCTGGAGAGAAATGGTACTGATTTAAGGGAGCGGATGATGTCCATTTCTGCAGGAGGCCTTACACAGAGAGCAGATGTTGGAGCAGAAGTTGGCCACCCTACAGCGGCTCCTCAGCACTACTCAAGAGGCCTCAGAGAGCAGCTGGCAGGTGGGAGCCACACCCTTGAATATGAGCTGTTTGATAGAATCACGTGTTTGAAGTTTTTACTGTGAAATGAAGTGAGTTTTTCTTTACAGTTTTTCAGGAATCCTTTAGTGTTAGAGTGAAAGCACCCAGATCAACCCAGCTTTGCTTTTTCAGACACTGTGCTTTCATCTGTTCCTCTGCTCTAAGATGTGTTTCTGTAAACTGTCTCCATCAGGCTCTGATAGACGAGGACCGCCTGCTCTCCAGGCTGGAAGTGATGGGCAGTCAGTTACAGGCCTACTCCAAGGTAAATGCTTCCCAACAGCAGATACAGACTTCCTGTGTCCTCGTTGGATCTGAACCTCTCTGATTAAGGCCTTAATCTGCTCAGCCCAGACAGTTTCTGAAGCTATTTCTACCTGAAAATAAACAGCTAATATAGACAATTAATACCTCCAAAATTAGAAGGTCTGTGGGACCTCTTGTTTGCTACTGATAAGCAACGCCTATTTCATCTGACAGTTCCTAGCTTCTGCACAGATGTTTATCCTGTTATGAAACTCAGCTAAGTTTCTGCAGGGTCATCTTACAACCTTGTGACCCTCAACAAATACACGTCTTCCTTAAACAGAAAGATATAAGTTGAACACACAGTTTTCACTTCACAGGTGTTAAACGCAACAGCAGGGTGTCGATGCTCCGCAGTCGATGGCTAGCAGCCACACTCTACTGAAAGCAGCTGCTCACACAGAGCCACAATGTCTGAGCCACTCTGTAGAAAGATTAGTCACCAATGACACCATGGCATTGTTGGAAATCAGTGCTTATTTCTCCTGAGAGCACTCAGGCTCGTTTTTTTAAAGTCTTAGGGAAATCATATTTAAATGTCAAATCATTCTGGATTAAACATGTATATAAATGTACTCTTTATCAGACTATATTGTCCCTAAATTTAGAAATGTAGTTTAAATAAAACATAAATAAATATAAAAAAAATTCCTCCTTTAAAATCTTCTGCAGGCCAGTTAGTTCTACGTCAGCCTGAACACTTAAATTCGGCCAATCATAAATCAATGGTCATCTGTCAATCACATTTTTTTCGGTCATAGCATCTTGATTCATATGTTGCAGCTAATATACGCAACGGTTGAAATAAGAATCCTTTCCTCTCCCATTGAGTTGCGTCCCAGTGTTCACGGGGATGGACGTCTGTGTCTTCAGCAGGCGTAGAGCTAACAGAACTGGCAGCGTTGCGAGGCAAGGGCTCAAACATGTACGGCTGGAAGCCTTCTACACCAAACCAAGCTTCTGCCGCCCTGGCGTCCTCTTCCACAACATCTACTTCCCCGCTTTCCTCCTCTAAATAAAAAAATGGATGACGGAGGAGACTCATCCACGACCTCCGACACTAAACTCTCCTCCTCTTGCATGTTTCCGCTGTCCATAGCGTTCCTTGACAGCGTCGTTTCTAAGTCACCAATTTAGTGCCTCTTGGTACCAATGGAATTTCCCATTGGGAACCTGCTAGCACTAAGGTGCTAACTGGTTAGCAACTTAGTCCTACTTGGTCCCAATGGAATTTCCCACAGGGAACCTGCTAGCGCTAAGTTGCTAACTGGTTAGCAACTTAGTGCTACTTGGTCCCAATGGAATTTCCCATTGGGAACCTGCTAGCGCTAAGTTGCTAACTGGTTAGTAACTTAGTGCTACTTGGTCCCAATGGAATTTCCCACAGGGAACCTGCTAGCGCTAAGTTGCTAACTGGTTAGTAACTTAGTGCTACTTGGTCCCAATGGAATTTCCCATTGGGAACCTGCTAGCGCTAAGTTGCTAACTGGTTAGTAACTTAGTGCTACTTGGTCCCAATGGAATTTCCCATTGGGATACTGCTAGTGCTAAGTTGCTAACTGGTTAGTAACTTAGTGCTACTTGGTCCCAATGGAATTTCCCATTGGGAACCTGCTAGCACTAAGATGCTAACTGGTTAGCAAGATGCTTCTGAGACACCGGCCACAATCAAACTTGCTTGCGAACCTTCCGCGACAACAATCCCGCCCTCTTGATAAATGACCAATCACATTCACTTTATTCACTCTTGTAAAGTCGGGCAGCACTCAGGAGAATTTAGAAATGCAATGTTAGGAACAGCCGCTTCCCTGCGACTATAAGACCCACAAACAAAGGTTCTTTAGAGGATTTCCAAAAAAGTAAATAAACAATCCACTGTACTTTGTTTACAAGTTTGAAGACATTTCGCTTGCCATCCAGCAAGTTTTTTCAATTCAAATGTCAGAAATAGCGTTGAGTTGCTTTAAACAGTAGCCCAAAAAACACTTGTTTTTGCTTAGACAATGTGCAAATTGAAACAAACGAACGGGTCCACCCTTTTACAGCAATTAAGCTAATCCCTTCCCACTATCATCCCAACCCCTTTACAGAGGAAAAGAAGACCCCGCCTATTCAGTCAGGCCAACAATTCTCTTTAACGACCCCCCTTTCAGAGACATAGACAGGTATGGGGCATTGCAGGCTAACAAAACAGCCAAACCACCCCATTCAGAAGGGGTGGACCCGTTTGTCCGTTTTAATTTGCATGTTTTCTAAGCAAAAACCAGGCTTTGTTGGGCTACATAAAGAAACTCAAAACTATTTCTGACAATTTGAATTAAAAAAGCTTCCTGAATGGGAAGCGAAACGTCTTCACACTAGGGGAAAAAAAGTTGGAATGACTATGACCTGGATGACTAGGAATCTTCACTTACTTTAGATACTTTAGAAGATCACATCTTTACTTTTGTCAGTCATTTTTTTATTGAGACATGATATCGTCAAACAGTGTGACAATATCTGAAGTCCACAATTTCATAAAACTAAGACTTGAAGATAAATCTAGTGGTTCTATTCTGCTTTAGGGTTGGTTGCTTTTCTTTAAATTTCTACGCTGTAGCTTCAGTGTGGTTCAATTTGAAATCCTAGAATCTTTAAATGAAGGGATGTCTCAGAAGGAACGAAACAACTCAAACTGTAACTGATGAGGGAAGATCAGGACTAAAGTTGTCTGTTGTATAATCTGCTCCAGTCGCAGACGGAGGAGGGGATCAGGAAGGAGCTTCTGGCTCTTCAGGAGGACAAACACAACTATGAGACCACGGCAAAGGAGTCCCTGAGAAGAGTCCTCCAGGAGAAGATCGAGGTGGTCAGGAAGCTCTCAGAGGTGGAGGTGGGTACTCAAGAACTCGTCACATTAAAGCTCTCCACGTCATAAGCCAATGGAACTCTAAAGATGGGCTTCACTTTGGAGCAACTGCAAGGTTGCTTTTTGTTTTTGGAGTCAAACTTCAACGGATTTGGTCTGCAAAGTTTTCTAAGGAAAACTAGTTGATTGCATCGACATATTGCCTCAAAGGCAATCCCTCACACTAAGCATGCTTGTAGCGACAGTGGAGAGGAAAAACTCCCTTTTAACAGGAAGAAACCTCCATTAGAACCAGGCTCAGTGTGAGCGGCCATCTGCTGAGGCCCACTGGGTTTCAAGGAGACAGAAGCAGAGACACAAAAGGGACTTGTATACCCGTCCACAGGCGGTCCCGAAAACACACAGCCGGGCAGACGAGCTGAAAGCGAGCACATCCAGTTAGTCACAGTCAGAGAAACAGGACTACACTGAAAAACAGTCCGATCTCCAACATCTAGAAACAAAGGTGTTGATGGCAGCAACACAGCAATGGTGATGTCTGTTCTGTCCACATTCTGAAGGTCACATCTTCCTGACTGCCCTTGATAAAAAAGACAATGAGAACGTATTCTTAGATGAATTGGAGATGCCTTTAAACTGCCTCCAGAGATACTTTAGCTGAGAAAGATTTCCCTGTGAGGAGAAGCAGTCATTTCTGAATCTGTTAGTTAACCTAGAGAGGTCTGGCTGCTGCTTACAGCAGATGAACCAGAACCAGAAGGTTCTGCTGCAGGATCAGACCTGGGAAATGAGGAGAATGGACCAACCTTCAAAAGTTAGGGAACTTCAGACCTTTTATTATTCATGCATCTCATTTAGTTCTAAACTTGTGACTCCTGATGTTTGCTCAGCCTTAAAGGAATAGTACACCCAAAACATGATTAGCCTTCATTTTCTACTCACCCCCATGCTGAACAACACTCTGGAGTACTTTTTTGATATCTCAAATGCATCTGGAGATCTGGGAGGCTTCTTGCCGTCTGCTGACATTCAAATAATGGAGGTCTATGGCGCCCGAGGCAGAAAGGTCCATAAAAGTCCACAAAAAACGTGTCAATGTTTCTCCATACTGCTCGTCCAATGTATTCCAAGTGTCCTGAGTGGGTAGCGTCCAGAATTTACTCGAAACAAAGTCATTTAGAATGTTTTTAGAGCATAAACAGTAGTGTATAGGATTTCCTGAAAGCGCGTTCACGAGTCTACGGAAACCGCGGCAGACCAAACCAGATGAAAGTGCGCATTCAGCTCGGCAAAGAACTCATGCTCTTCCTCAACACTGAAGTCCTCAGACATTTTTCTTTCGTTGTTTCTTTGGGCGTTTCTCAATTGACGAGAACGCGAGCACGTATGTGTATTGGAACAGAAGCGTACTCGTGACGTCATCACATTCAACGTTGTTTAGCATTTCTTTAACAGTCAAAACTTATTTATTCCCTACACAAAACATTTTTAAAACAATATTTTTAATTTCTAAAGCTTAAAAAACATTAAAAAAAATTACCGAACCGCAAAAAACCGCCATCAGAACGAGCGGTAGTTCACACATAACTAGACCGAGAGAAGTGCACTACAGATGGGGTAAATTTAGCGCTAGCTGCGGTTACCCTCGGAGGTCTGCTGGTCACTCTGGTCCGCTCAACGTCTGACTTTTTTAAAATTTCGCACTAACTCTGTAAACAGGCCACACAGGGAGGCTTAAATGTATAATGTTATCGCCTCAAACGATTTCAAAACGTACTTTTGAAGAACAGCAGCAGCAGAAAAGGGAATGTTTAACTTACCACTGTGAGCGCTGTCTGGAATCAAGCTACGGCCGCGGGGCATTCTGGGGAAGCGGTCAGTCTGAAGAACGCACAAGTCTGCTCTGATGCATGCTCGATAAAAAGGGCGGGGCCAGAACAACATCCGGGGATTTAATGCGTTCTCGATCTGGCGTTCTCGAGAATTGGAACGGTACTCGGGCTGAGGCTGATGACGTATCACGAGTACATGAGAACGCTCAAGAACGCATATTGAGAAACGGCCTTTCTTTGCAAAGGTAAACAGCACATTTCTTCTTCTACGCTTGCATTATTGGCAGAGCAGACGCTGAATGCGCACTTTCATCTGGTTTGGTCTGCCGGCTTCCGTAGCGTCATGAACGCGCAGGTGCGCGCTTTCAGGAAATGCTATACACTACTGTTTATGCTCTAAAAACATTCTAAATGACTTCGTTTCGAGTAAATTATGGACGCTACCCACTCAGGACACTTGGAATACATAGGACGAGCAGTATGGAGGAATATTGACACGTTTTTTGTGGACTTTTATGGACCTTTCTGCCTCGGGCGCCATGGACCTCCATTATTTGAATGTCAGCAGACAGCAAGAAGCCTCCCAGATCTCCAGATGCATTTGAGATATCAAAAAAGTACTCCAGAGTGTTGTTCAGCATGGGGGTGAGTAGAAAATGAAGGCTAATCATGTTTTGGGTGTACTATTCCTTTAAGCTGGGTGTACTGGTGATAATGGGAGGGATGAGGGTTGCTTCAGTGATGAAGCCACGGCTGCTGTACTGAAAGCAGCCCTTGTTGTGTGCGGCGTTGCAGCGGTCCCTCAGTAACACAGAGGACGAGTGCACCCACCTGAAGGAGATGTCAGAGAGGGGTCAGGAGGAGCTGAGGGAGCTGGCCAACAAGTACAACGCCGCCGTGAACGAGATCAAGGAGCTCACCGACAAGATTAAGGTACCAGCTCATCCTGTTCTTCACGCTGCTCCTCTCCTGTTCCATTACTTCCCTGTTCATTACTGTCCACTTCCGTGTTTTCCTGGCTTTAGGCGGCAGAGGGAAGGCAAGAGGAGCTGACTCTGCAGGGAGCCACGGAGAAGAGGGAGCTGGAGATGCGAATCGAAGAGATGGAGGAGAAGGAGCAGGTTCTCCAGGCTCGCATTGAAGCACTGCAGGCTGACAACGATTTCACAAACGAGAGGCTCACCGCCCTCCAGGGTAAAGCCCCGTTCAGAGGTTCCTACAGACGTATTCACGCCTCAGGCTTTGCTGTTAGGGGAGGATTTAGCAGAGGCTCCTGTTGCCATGAAGGCCTCAGAGCAGAAGGATGGCAGCAGGGGAGGATCTCCTGCTTTCTGCATCCACACCTACTGGAAACCGGATAAGGAGTTATGAGGGTAGTCCTCTGAATAAGGTGTCAGTGTCGACTGTACCGGGTTAGGACCAGAGTCCGTACTGGTACTGGGTCGGTACCAGAATTAGCTGATATCCCAGATCTTCTGATTCTTGTTTTTGGTGATTGGGTCGTCTCTGGTAACGTGGAGGAATATGAAAGCGTTATCAGGGTGTGAATACTTCTCTACTTTGAATGGTGTTTAATCTGAAGGTTTCTTACAGCAGCAGTTTTAGACCAGTTTTATTCCTTTAGAAGAGCTGAATCCAGCCTGTCAGATCAAAGGTGAACCATCTGTGGCCACGCCTACTTAGTTCCGGTCAAATGTAAGAATATGGCAGCTGATTGGATGCAAGCCACCTTCTTCCCGTCAGTCACCGCCTCCCTGCTGCTGCTCTTGTTTTTTTGCAGTGCGCTTAGAGCAACTACAGGAGAAAAGCATTAAGGACAGCAACAGCCTGGGTGAGTCCACCTGTCCCTGGGACACGTCTTCTCCTCTTCCTGCTTCTCTAATGATGCATGACGGCTTCCTGCATGAGCTCCGTTTACCTGTTGCTGGCTGTGGCTGCAGCTCTCTGTCCTTCTGTGGTGGAAACTTTATTTTTCAACACTTTTCCTCCTCTTGGTTTTGGTGTTGATGCAAAGGCTTGCTGTGTTCTGTTGGGGTCGGAGACCGTCTGAGGTGAGAGACTTTTAGATTCAGAAATCATCCTGAAAATAATCAGATAATAATAATAATAATTGAACTTTATTGATCTCAGAACATCTGAAATTATTTGGATGGTACGGCAAACAAAAATTTCCTCCACAACTCTGTTGCCCAAAGGTCCAAACGGTCCGTGTCCAGGACGTGTGGAAGAACATCCTGGTCGATTCTCTCTGCAGACCTGATAGGTCGAGTTTCTGTCCTCACGGGATGACATCAGAGGAGCCTCATTCCAATGTTAATATCTGGAATCTTGAAGAAAATTCTACATTTATTCTTTATTTATGGACCATTTAACTCCGATTATGCTCGTTCGATAAAAGAACCGGTTTAATCAGCATTACACCTTTTTAGGATCCTTGCTCGGTGTGTTTTGTTTAGGCGGGGGGGGGGGCATGGCGGCACTCATCCAATCTGGTCGTCTTGGATAATCTGGGTTTTTTCCTCCACTGCTTGGTGTCGTTTTCCTTCCTGTGGGTCTCTGATTGGCCCACCCTCACTGATGCCGTGTTCTCTGCATGTGTGTTAAACCTTCGTCCAATTGGTCTATATATTTGATCTGGTCACGTGACAGATGAGGACATTGTCTCCCACGGACGGGCAGCGGAGCCTGTGGAAGACCAGCAGAGCCTGCAGACCTGTGAGAAGCTCGGCGGAGGCGAGGCAGATTCAGACACTGATGATGATGGAGATGAAGAGAAAGATGGTAGATAGTTTAATTCTCCTAATAACAGACGTCTGAGCACCTCTGACTCCTGGTTCATTTTAGATGAAATAGATGAAGTCAGATGATCATCCAGCTTCACTCATCAGCCCATCCAGACTTTTCCTCTTCTGATTGAATCAGAGTTTCACTTTTCTAGATCTGAACTCTCTAGATCTTTTTATTCAGGGCAAACTAAGCAAGAGCTAACGAGGAATTCCCTGAGATGAATTCCAAAGAATATGTTTCCAAGTTTGAAGACGTTCCGCTTTCCATCCAGGAAGCTTTTTCAATTAAAAATATCAGAAATAGTATTGAGTTTCTTTATCCAGCAGCCCAACAAAGCCTTGTTTTGGCTTAGAAAACATGCAAATAGAAACAGACGAACTGTTCCACCCCTTTGGAATGGGGGTCATTTGGCTTCTTTGTTAGCCTGCAATGCCCCATACCTGTCTATGTCTCTGAAAAGGGGTCGTTAAAGGGAATATTTGGTCTTCTGTTGTTCCCCTTTATAAAGGTTGTGATGAAGCTCTTTAAGTTGTATCTATACATGTAAAAGTATTCGCACCCCCACTTATTTAATATTGGCATAAACTCAGCTGAGAACAACCGGCATCCTGAAGGCAGAGGAAACGGGTCCTGGATGATTCTGAAAAAAAGTGAAGGCCGGATGATGTCGACAAAACTTCATCGCCGTGGATACGATCCGATTGAGACCTTCAAGTAGCGCAGCATGGCTCCTCTAGAACAGTTTAGAAAGCTAAATGGTGACGTAGAATAGCGGGTTGGAGCTGAATGTGATCCTCTCTGACTGCCACCTTCGTGTTGCTGTTATCTATCAGCGTTCACAGGTGTTTGTGTTTATGATCGGTACGCTTTACTGCTGCAGTTAAACCCACATAATCCTACGCTGCACCGATGTTCTGTCATGTGACCACATGGTGATGCAGCCCCCCCGTGTGGTCATCACGGCCATGTGGGCAGTGCGTGTGGAGGAGGGCGTTCTGCTCTAGCTTCACCAACATCTAGCTTTGTAGGTCTATGCAGGAGAACATACGGAAGAGGATTAGGGCCACTGGAAAAAAAAAAAAGTTAACTGATTTTTAAATTTTATTTCAGTTTAGTATGGGAAAAAAGTCAGAATTCTGACTTTTTTTTCGAAATTCTGACTTTTTTCTCAGAATTCTGACTTTAATCTAAGAATTCTGACTTTAATCTAAGAATTCTGACTTTTTTATTGTCAGAATTCAGTCAGAATTCTGAGAAAAAAGTCATAATTCTTTGAAAAAAGTCAGAATTCTGACTTTTTTCTTGAAATTCTGACTTTTTTCACAGAATTATGACTTTTTTCTCAGAATTCTGACAATAAAAAAGTCAGAATTCTTAGATTAAAGTCAGAATTCTTAGATTAAAGTCAGAATTCTTAGATTAAAGTCAGAATTTCGAGAAAAAAAGTCAGAATTCTGACTTTTTTTATTGTCAGAATTCAGTCAGAATTTGACCTTTTTCTCAGAATTTTGACTTTTTTCTCAGAATTCAGTCAGAATTCTGAGAAAAAAGTCATAATTCTTTGAAAAAAGTCAGAATTCTGACTTTTTTCTCGAAATTCTGACTTTTTTCACAGAATTATGACTTTTTTCTCAGAATTCTGACAATAAAAAAGTCAGAATTCTTAGATTAAAGTCAGAATTCTTAGATTAAAGTCAGAATTCTTAGATTAAAGTCAGAATTTCGAGAAAAAAAGTCAGAATTCTGACTTTTTTATTGTCAGAATTCAGTCAGAATTCTGAGAAAAAAGTCGAAATTCTGAGAAAAAAGTCAAATTCTGACTGAATTCTGACAATAAAAAAAGTCAGAATTCTGACTTTTTTCACAGAATTCTGACTTTTTTCACAGAATTCTGACTTTAATCTAAGAATTCTGACTTTTTTATTGTCAGAATTCAGTCAGAATTCTGAGAAAAAAGACGAAATTCTGAGAAAAAAGTCAAATTCTGACTGAATTCTGACAATAAAAAAGTCAGAGTTCTGACTTTTTTTCTCGAAATTGTGACTTTTCTCAGAATTGTGACTTTTTTCTCAGAATTGACTTTTTTCACAGAATTCTGACTTTTTTTCTCAGAATTCTGACTTTTTTTCACAGAATTATGACTGAATTCTGACAATAAAAAAAGTCAGAATTCTGAGATTAAAGTCAGAATTCTGACTTGCTTCCCATACTAAACTGAAATAAATTTTAAAAATCAGTAAACTTTTTTTTTTTTTTTTTGTGGCCCTAATCCTCTTCCATAATAACAGCCTGAAGCTGCAAACCAAATCATTTTGTTGGTGGTTCCAGGGGTCTGGATACTTTCAGGGCCCACACTCCTTCACTCTGCTAGCTTAATGCTGATGTGTGGCGTTTGAATCCCAGCCTTTAATCCACTCTATGATCATTTTCTATTTTCTTCACCTGGACACTCCTAGAGGGCTGGACGATGTGAAGAAAATCTAATATTTGGGCTATATTGCGATTCATAATATATATCACAAAATGTTTGAATTACCTTAAAAAAATGATAGTGCATAAAATTGCGCTAAAATACTGATTCAAACTTTTTGTTTCAAATTTAAAACATTTTTTTAACCAGCTAAAAGCTTTTCACAAATAAACCTGCCACATTACGTCTGTTAGTATCAGTATTGGAAACAGGAAACCGTAAAAACACACAATACTAAATAAAATATAAAATAAGAAGGGCTATTTTGTACATAGCCCTTCAAAAAACAAATGCAGAATGAAAAAGAAATTTACCTCAAATTACAAAAAACCTGAAGTCGAAGTATTGTACAAAAAAAAACAGCATTATCAGAGCATCTCCAAACTATAAGCACTGATTGATCTTTAAGTGCAGGGAATTTTAAAGAAGCACAAAAAGTTGTAAAATTGAGAACATCGCCAAGTTTAGAAAAAGTCTGCAAAACCCCTAACCAGGACCACATCACATCACAGGTATTAGAGCATCTAAAAAAACATTCATATAACGTAATAAATAGTGATTTTCCTCCATCTCTTTCCTCTTGTCTCATATGGGATTGCTTTTTCGAATGACGAGACCAACGCCATCGGCTTCACAGCTGATTTATATTATTATTATTATTAAAACTATACGTTTTAATTGGTGTGCCGGGAGATACTGACATGTGGAGTTTACAACATTCTTCATTTCGCAGCGGATTACTTTTTAGGCGGTGGAATAAGTTTGTACTGTTACCTTTTTTGCCGCACATCATAAAAATGAGCGCTTTAGTTCGACGTCCTTTGCCTGAAATCCCATATATTGCTCAGCTGAAACACCTGCTGCCGCTAGTGATCGGCTATTGAGACATCTTGAAGCGTTTCGACTCATCGCCAAACTGTATTGATGCTGCGTGATACTGTCTTGCAGAATGCTGACACCTGCTGGACCTTTAAGGACACTACAGGCAGTTTATTAGACAGACTAAACTGAATTGATTTTATGACCTAGTACATGGATTATTGAAGTTATTGTAGATTATATTGTATTATTTAATATCTATTTTTAAATAAAAAATATATTTGCTATTTATATGCAGCTAATAAATAATGTAAACATATAGTATGACGTGAAAATTTAGGGTAAAATGTGAATGAGGATGCTTGTGGACTAGAATTTTAAAACATTCTTAGAATGATAAGTACAGTAAAAACAGTAAATAAAGTAAGAGTCAACTTGAAATTAACTTGAATTCGGATAAGTTGAGTGATAACTGAGAGGAAAGGGATGAGGCAATGAGAAAAAAACGTCCCTATTCCTTTTAGGCTGCTCCAAAATTCTTTATAATCTTAATGATAAACCCTGAAAAGATGAGACATTTCTTTTTAGCAGATGCATCATGCTGACTGATACGTTTTCAAACACCGTTTTGTGTCAATCACTTAGAAACGTCATATTTCGTTTGCCGGTTGCTGTAGTGTGTGTGCGACGCAGAAAATAATCCTGTTTGGAGAAAGGGTTTATGATATAACCAAAGTGTCTGGGGAAAAATAAAGCTCTCAGTGAAATAGATGCTGATGGCTGTTGAATGAGGAAGTTATGTCCCCTTGAAGGCAGTTGCGCCTCGGAACTTCCCTTCCGGTTCTTTTCCTGGGAGCAAGTTATTTACTAAAAAAAGACTGTAAAACAGGAGTAAAAAAGTAACAGAGTTTATTCCAGATCAGGTCGTTACAGAACAGAGAAAATGCTTGGAGCTTGCACAGCTGTGAGCTCAGAAATCACGTCCGCAAGCATCCAGCAAAGTTTGAGCCTCAAACAAGGTCATCTCCTGCTTCTTATACCTCATGAGTCTATGTGTTGCACCAGGTGGATGCTTTGCTGTCTGTATCAGAAACTGACAAACATCCATGACCTGGGGCCTGTTTCAGAAAGGAGGTTAAGTGAAAACTCTGAGTTTGTTAACCCTGAAATGAGGGAAACTCTGGGTTTTCTGTTTCAGAAAGGGAGGTAAGTTAAACCTGAGAAAGCAGAGTAAGTCAAGCCCGTTTCTGAAAGAGAGGTAACTTATACTCAGAGTCAGTTACCATGGCAATTTACTCTGTGAACCTAACCTGGTCGGGAGCAGGTTTTCTTCAGAAAATCCAGAGTTTATTTTGGTCTCCTTCCCTTTTTTAAAGAGGAAGTGGTGTTTAAACACCTCATTGATTCTTTGGGGACATACAGTATTCATTGCACACATTTCAGTCACGTAGAGCGCATCAAAGGGAATGAAATGGCATGTCCTTTAATGGATGATCCTGTTTGTAAAGCCAGGTAGCTACTCTACTCCCATGATGTGCTCAAGGCTTATCTGCTTGAAGTATGTTTTTATATTTCATTTTCAGCTGCTGCCATGTTCTTTTGATGCCTGCAGGATTGCACCTATCCATGAAAACTAAATTAGGTTTAATAAAATACTGTTCTTCCAGTTTCACCTCTGATATTATAACAGTTGGGTAAGTTACTCTAAAATAGTTCTTAATTACTAACTACAAATTTTATCTTCAACAAGTCTAATTAGATTAATGTAATAATTACTGTCTCTAGAAAGTATTGGTCTACTTACTAATTTGTTTTACTTACTTATTACTTTCTAAATCCCAAATCAACCTCAACCACTTGAACAATACAAGGAGAGACAAGAAACTGCACTTCTAATGCTTTCAAATAAACAATATTCAATTGCATGAATTAATCTTAAATTGACCAAGGTGTGTAACTAGAGGGAGAAAGTTCAAATCAAAATATACCTTTTAAAATTTGATATTAAATTAACTATTGTTTTATAGTCTTTAATTTAATTACAGTATTTATATGACTTAAGTAACTTAATTCATTACACCCAACACTGTATAAAAGTAATTAAAATGTAAATTTACGCATTGACTCGAGCAGCTATTTTCACCCAAGCTAACTCTCTCTCCTTCGCCGCTGCAGCCGTGTTGCTTTTAAAAAAAATACATGTTCAAATTCTGCATATGCTTGCATAAGCACATCCAGTTCTGCTGGTGAGAAATATGCACACCTTTTTTTGTCTGACGCTGTTGCCATGGTGACTCGTGATATCTGTGCTCCATTGATAATGGCTTTTTATAGTTGTGGTGCACGCGCTTAACTCAGAGTCAGTCAATTTAGAGTTGATTGAACTAACTCATTTCAGCTGTTCTGAAACCCAAAACTCAGAGTTTCCAATCTCAGGATAAGTCAACTCAGAGTTCAAGTTTTAACTCAGAGTTGGTTGAACTTCCTTATTGAAACAGGCCCCTGATGTATATGCGTCTTGCCTCTATGCCCAAGGATTACAGATAGCTCCCCTCTATTCGTCCGGCTCCAAGATGTGCCCATATCCTGTGTATCTTTAAAAGACAAGAAGGCTGTCCTGATTAGATGACCTCTGTACACACAGTGACATCCACAATGTGAAGGAAGGCCTTCTACTCTCTCTAATCTGGCTAACAATACACATGATGTATAAAGAATAAACCTAACAGGCTTAATGTCATCATGTGAATTTGGACTTGATGGTTTCTATAGCCATTTTAACCATTGTGCATGGGAAACCTTGAGATTAGAGATGTCCCGATCCAGGTTTTTGCACTTCCGATCCGATACCGATATTGTTTTTGGACTTCCGATCCGCTACCGATACTGGCCGATACCAGCCTATCCGAGCATGTATTTAAGTTTAAGTTAAAGTATTTAGCCTTAGTTGTAAGACTCATGTTGAAAAGGGTTTTAGTACTCTTGATAACATCTAGCCAGCTGAATTAGGTGAGATTGAATAAAACACAATGCTTGGTAACAACAAACTTACCTGTTTATTAAGAGATAAACACAAACTGGACAAAATTATGAATAGCAATCTGAAATTGCACAGTGAGCAGTAAAACCGTAAACAGTTAAAGGTGCAAGTATTACTGTAAGTTTTAATAAAAATGCAAAACAGGGGAACACTGGCGCAAAATAGTGGAATGGATCGTTTCAATCGGCGAAACTGGAAAATACGGACCGGAATAAAAAAAAAAAACTGGATCGGCAGTCTGGATCGGCATTTTACATGCTTTGCCGATACCCATTTTTTTGCCAATATCGGCGTCCCGATCCGATCCACGTATCGGATCGGGACGCGCCTACTTGAGATACATTGAGTATATTAGATATGTCGCCCACCCCTACCTCCAAGGTCTCTATGGTTTATGGGCTGCTCTCTGAAGAGGCTTTAGTTGGACTCAGATGCTGCTTTGGGTCCCATCCACTGCCTGTCCACAGCCTGTTCACCACCTTTCTGCCGTCTGTCCACAGCCTGTTCACCACCTTTCTGCCGTCTGTCCACAGCCTGTTCACCACCTTTCCGCCATCTGTCCACAGCCTGTTCACCACCTTTCCGCCGTCTGTCCACAGCCTGTTCACCACCTTTCCGCCGTCTGTCAACAGCCTGTTCACCACCTTTCCGCCGTCTGTCCACAGCCTGTTCCCCACCTTTCCGCCGTCTGTCAACAGCCTGTTCACCACCTTTCCGCCGTCTGTCCACAGCCTGTTCCCCACCTTTCCGCCGTCTGTCCACAGCCTGTTCACCACCTTTCCGCCGTCTGTCCACAGCCTGTTCACCACCTTTCCGCCGTCTGTCCACAGCCTGTTCACCACCTTTCCGCCGTCTGTCCACAGCCTGTTCACCACCTTTCCGCCGTCTGTCCACAGCCTGTTCACCACCTTTCTGCCGTCTGTCCACAGCCTGTTCACCACCTTTCCGCCGTCTGTCCACAGCCTGTTCACCACCTTTCCGCCGTCTGTCCACAGCCTGTTCACCACCTTTCCGCCGTCTGTCCACAGCCTGTTCACCACCTTTCCGCCGTCTGTCCACAGCCTGTTCACCACCTTTCTGCCGTCTGTCCACAGCCTGTTCACCACCTTTCCGCCGTCTGTCCACAGCCTGTTCACCACCTTTCTGCCGTCTGTCCACCTTCCATCAGCAGCATGTCCGCAGCCTGTCCACCGTCTTTCTTTTCATGTTGCCTGTCAGCTCTGCTGAGCTTCTATCTTTGCTTTTTGTCGTTCTGTTGCCCAGCCCCTCTGTGGTTCTGCTCTTCCTGATCAGCGTCGTGTTGCCTTCAGGAACCTGTTCTGAATCACGGCCCAGATGGTTTTGATTCTGCTGATTTAGGCAAAAAATAATCAAAATGTTCTGTTTGTTCTTCATTAATTAGTCAGTCTGAGGAGGACTCCTCCCTCACTCCACAGATTTGTTCTGGCTTTAATAAGCAGAATCAAAATGTCATCTTTAAAGAGATTAAAGTTAAGCCCCTTCTTTCTGTTTCTGTCAGACAACTGTCACCTCAACAGTGGAGGAGAGTCGACTCGAATCCCGCAGTTGATTGAATGTCCGCGTGAGTACAAACAGAGCTCATGTGCAACACTGCCCTCTGCAGGCCACAGAGACGTTTAAACCTGCAGACTTTAAGTCAGGACGGTTTTAGACCTGGGTCCAGTTCTGTGCTGCAGCTTTTTGATGTGCACGCCTGGCCAGACTCTTCTCTGACCTCTGGTTGCTATGACAACCACCTTAATCCTTCATTGAGTTGAAGCTGCCAGGTTTTGGTCCCTGCCTGCTGAGTCATCCATGCAAACATTCAGAGCGATCAAACCTCCTCCAGGAACGAGGAGAAGTGTCGAATGAAGCCGTCCTGACGCTCTGCTCATTCAGAGGACCTTAATGCTTTTAAAAACTGTGTAGATGAAAGACGATTGAACATGGATTCAAAGAGTTCCCCCCCGAGAGCCGAGGCAGAGTTAGTCCTAAGGTCCATTCCTTGGATGTGTGGTTTTGGTCGACAAGCATTAAAGGAATAGTACACCCAAAACATGATTAGCCTTCATTTTCTACTCACCCCCATGCTGAACAACACTCTGGAGTACTTTTTTGATATCTCAAATGCATCTGGAGATCTGGGAGGCTTCTTGCTGTCTGCAGACATTCAAATAATGGAGGTCTATGGCGCCCGAGACAGAAAGGTCCATAAAAGTCCACAAAAAACGTGTCAATATTCATCCATACTGCTCGTCCAATGTATTCCAAGTGTCCTGAGTGGGTAGCATCCAGAATTTACTCGAAACGAAGTCATTTAGAATGTTTTTAGAGCATAAACAGTAGTGTATACGATTTCCTGAAAGCGCGCGCCTGCGAGTTCACGACACTACGGAAACCGCGGCAGACCAAACCAGATGAAAAAAAGATGACATGACATTTAGGAAATCCTATACACTACTGTTTATGCTCTAAAAACATTCTAAATGACTTCGTTTCGAGTAAATTATGGACGCTACCCACTCAGGACACTTGGAATACATTGGACGAACAGTATGGAGGAATATTGACACGTTTTTTGTGGACTTTTATGGACCTTTCTGCCTCAGGCGCCATAGACCTCCATTATTTGAATGTCAGCAGACAGCAAGAAGCCTCCCAGATCTCCAGATGCATTTGAGATATCAAAAAAGTACTCCAGAGTGTTGTTCAGCATGGGGGTGAGTAGAAAATGAAGGCTAATCATGTTTTGGGTGTACTATTCCTTTAAGGCTTGATTATATAATTTATCATAAACAAATGGACTCTAAATGTCCAAGCTGCTGCCTTTTCTACCCTCTGTGAAAAACCGCTTTGTTCCAGTGCAGACCTCTCCTGCTGCCGAGGTTTAGCAAGCTGTTCACTGGTGGCGGCACAGACCTGCAGCCCTGACTCCAGCAGATGAGAACTTGCTCCATCTGCTGGCTGCAGTGGATCTGACCCCTCTGTGACCTAAAGGCAGTAGGAACCTTGCCGATGACGAAAGCTCAGTGACAGTTTCTCCACTTTGGCTGACCTTTGTCCTTTTTTCATTGAGCTGATGAAGCAGTTTGATGTCGGTTTGATTCAGACCTGATCATCTGGTGGAAAACTGTCTCTTATTCCCTCATCTGTTTGGTTTTTGCAGCGGTCAAGCAGCTGAAAGAGAACGTCTGCTCTTCAATCGACAAACTGGCCAACTTTGACGGTACGTGTTTCCCCTGATTGTTCATCTGCAGTCAGTAGCTGGTTTAACCATCTAATGCTCCTGGGTTTTTCACAGAAGTCATGGATGCCCACCTGCAGAACAGCCAGACAGCAGAGGACGAGCTGCTGGCCAGCCCCGACCACCTCAGAGGTAAATGTCACCGACCTACAGCGCCCTCAGCGTGGTCACGGCTGCACTCACTCAATCCTCTACTGTTATCGTCCCCACAGGGAACCAAATGGACGCCAAAGAGTCCGACATGTCCGACACGCTGAGTCCCAGCAAAGATCGCAGCAGTGACGAGGCGTCAGGTGAGCAGAACAGAACCCCAAACCCCAGTCCTGCTTCAACATCAGAAAACATCTGCATTCCTTTAAAGGCTCTCTGAGGATAGAAACCTGAATTGATGTTCTACTAAAGCTAGAATATTCCAAATTGGCAACAATAAAGGTCCATTTCTTTAGTTGGGGCTTGGAGGAGATCAGCCTTGGTCCTGCTGAGATGTTCAGGAAGAACCGCTAGCTTCAATAGCACCCTTTAGGTTAGCTTCGTCATCCGCTCCTCTTTCTCTTTACAGTATTCCATAGATTTTCCATAAAGATGCATTCAGGTCCTGCTTGAAAATGAACTGAGTTTCTCCACCGAGGTTGAAAGGCTCTAAAATGTTCTGGTAGATGGGTCCACTGGACTGGAACCAGCTGATGACAAGGAACCCAAATCTTCCCTGACTGTAGAAACTTCTCCACTGCTCCTCATTCTTGGATCCAGAAATGTGAACTTTACGTTTATCTGCTCGTCCCTAAGCTCTGACTCAGTTCTCTCCCTCTGAACTTCTGAGTGCACCTTGGCACTTTTTTCCTCCAACTAACTTTCTGTGAATATGCTTTAAATGTCTCTAAGAGTTCTAACTTTTTTAAAACGAATGATTTGGTTTTTATTATCTGGTGGCTCTGATCATTGGAGATGATTCAGAAGATGCTGCGTTTCATCATGTTTCCTTGATCTTGAGACGACAATGAATGAAGAAGACAATTGAAGTTCAGCTGCTGAGATTCTTACAGCTCCATTCAAACCTCTCTGCCTGCCCAGGATTAAAAGCTGCCATGTTTGCACTTTGACTGCAGCTGATAGTGGTCTGTGTTTGGTCTCAATTCAAATGTTTATTTCTATGGCGCCGATTCACACGTCAACTCAAGGCACTTTACAGAGACAATACAGTCATTCAGGTCATAGTCCTTCCAACGAAGTTTAAAAACAATCCACTGGACTTTGTTTCCAATTTTGAAGACATTTTGCTTCCCATCCGGGAAGCTTTCTCAATTCAAAATGTCTTGAATTGAGTTCCAGTGGCACGTACAAAAGCCTTGTTTTCTCAGCCATAACACGGCTTTTGTTTGTGCCTCTCTATAAGCCTGGATTTTCATCAATATTTAGTTTTTGACTCTTCAGTAATCCCTTTCACCAAGCATGCTTGTAGCTTCAGTGGAGAGTAAGTGGAGAGCCAGCTCCTATGTCAGAGGATGAAGAGAGCACATCCAGTTAGTCACAGTCAGAGAAACAGGACTACACTGGAAAATAGGCTGATCTCCAACATCTAGAAACAAAGGTGTTGATGGCAGCAGCACAGCTGATATTTCTCTCCAGGATGGAGTCACAGCCAAACAGGAACAGACCAGATGAAGCTACTATGAGAAAAAGCAGAGAGAGCAGAACGTTAGAGATTGAACTAACAGATTCTGCAGAGTGGGAGAATAGAGATAGAATGAAGCAGAATGATGAAAAAGGGGTCCCTATGTCCTCCAGCAGTCTAAGCCTATAGCAGCAGAACTATAGAGATAGCTCAGGATAACCTGAGCCACTCTAACTAGAAGCTTTATCAAAAAGGAAAGTTTTAAGCCTAGCCTTAAAAGTAGACAGGGTGTCTGCCTCACGGACTAAAACTGGTAGTTGGTTCCACAGGAGAGGAGCCCGATAACTAAAAGATCTGCCTCCCATTCTACTTTTAGAAATTCTAGGAACCACTAGTAAACCTGCAGATTGAGAGCGAAGTGCTCTGTTAGGAACATAAGGAACAATCAGATCTCTGATATCAGATGGAGCTTGGCCATTTAAGGCTTTATTAACATGTTTGTTGAATCATCAGATGGGAACATGAACGACCAGGAGCTGAATGAATCGCAGAACAGAGTCACCCTGCTGAAAGGTAACTGCCACCTGCTTTCAATACTTTTACTAAAGTGTACAAATGTGGATTTTTTTTAAGAACATTTCTGAAAGGTCAGGTTTAAATGGAAACATTTCAGATCTCTTGCTGCTAGATCTTTGTCACAAGAGTTTTTAGGCATGAGAAGATTGAAAAAGGCTTGGGCCGATGGTCGTATGTGTTGTTTGTGTGTAGCTGAGCTGAATCGGGCTGGTCTGGAAGCAGGAGACACGGAGAAGGTCATCAGCCATCTCCACAGAGAACTTCTGGAAGCCCAGGACTTGGCCAACACTGGGAAGCAGAAATGTCTGGAGCTCCAAGGTAACTGCAGCAGCTGCTGAGCAGAACTCCCTGACTGAAAGCTCAGTTTGGGTCCATGGTACCACCATGGTTCTTGGTACTATGATGTTCAAGCACTGTGACCGACTGTCTGCAGCTCTGCTAGAGGAGGAGAGGAGGAGTAACTCCAAGCTGACTCAGGAGTCCAGCAAGCAGATCCAGTTCCTGCAGAGTGAGTATAGTACCATCAACCAGTCCAACCCAGAACCGGTCCAGGTTCTAACTTGTCGGTTCCTTCTACTAATGCAGCTCAGCTGGAGAAACTTCAGGCGGACATGGAGGCCCTGAGGGAGCAGAGGGAGGGCACCATCTGCAGCACCAGGGAGGAGCTCTGCTCCGCCCAGGAGGAGGTACTGATCTGTTCCTCCTCTTCTTTCTCCTCCTGGGTTCCTCTTAATATTGGCTTCGTCTCATCATCATCCTTACCGTACTCACCTGGATTGTTTCTGCTGTCAGATTCTCGTTCTGCGACACGCCATGGAGACGGCCACCGCAGAGCGGGAGCGAGAGATCGCCGCCCTGCAGGCGAACGTGGGTAGCGTTCGCACTGAGCTGGAACACTGGAGGGCCACGGCTGCCAAGTACGAGGAGGAGATCAGCCGCCTGCAGGAGACATTTTCTCAGCAGCAGCAGAGCAAAGCCAGTCAGCTGCAAGGTTGAAGCTGCTTCTGCTTCTTGGTTAAGATGTGTCTGTTTTCATGGCCTCTTAATAACGAACCATCTGTCCTTCTCTCCGTTTGTCCTTGTCTCTTTCCGTCCTTTTCTCCTTCTGTCCCCCAGAGGAGTGTGCAGCTTTGCAGCAGCGCTGCACATCTTTGCAGCAGGACTGTGAAGGCTTGAGAGCTGAGCGGAGAGATCTCACAGAGAAGCTGCAGCGCCTGGAGGCTGAGCTCAGCAGGTACGAAGATCAGGTTCAGTCAAGTGAGAAGATCACATTTTTCAAAGTGTGACCCTAAATTATGGAATAGAAAGTTTTGGCTACTACAGTCATGACCAAAAGTATTGAGAATGACACTAATGTTGTATTTCAACACGATCTGCTGCCCTCTGGTTTTCATGTGTGTATTTCAGAGGTTGTCATCACATACAGAAATACAATTGCAATCATACGATGAGTAACAAAAGCTTTTAATGACAGAATGAGTTAATGCAGCAAGTCAATATTTGCAGTGTTGACCCCTCTTCTTCAGGACCTCTGCAATTCTCCCTGGCTGCTCTCAATCAACTTCTGGACCAAATCCTGACTGACAGCGTCCATTCTTGCACAATCAATGCTTGCATTTAGTCAGAACAGGGGGTTTTCAGTGACGTCACTGGCCAGCTTCCGGTCCGCCATCTTGGGTGGCATATTATCGTATATCATATATATCATGTCGCGAATGGATAAGTACGCCAGCACGCTAGAGCCATCAGATCATGGAACATATCTGAGGAAATGTTCCGTGATCGACCATATGGACCCCTATGCCCTCCACGGTGCCTTGTTTAGCACTAATCCAGATGATTGGCCAAATGTAGAGCACGGTGACATAGTTCATTACGGTGTTCAGTGAAAACCCTCTGCACACTCTTGAGGAAATGAGAGCGTACAAGGGTCTAGAGGCGCACAACCAGTTCACATCTGGTTGGGTACGAGATGTCGAAGTGATGTACATGAAGGAAATCGCCATCATACGTGGACGGGTGAGTTTTAATAAGATGGTAAAAATGTTAACAATCCGACGCAGGGCTCGCTATGCTAGGTTGCTAACGGCCGGCGGTGCGCGAACAGTTCCAAAGCTACAAGTCCTTGGAGTCTCATGTGCAGTTTACGAATGGATGAGTTCAGGAGCTGCAGCTCATAAAGCCAGCAAACAGTGCTAACCGTTAGTGCTAACAACCACTCAGGCATGTAATGTACTTTTAACTAGCTGCTATGTGTTTCAAAGGTTTGGTTAGTAACGTTAACTGCCAAACCTCCCTAAACCCTCCGGGTTTTTCAGATATTTGAGCCTTTTCCCGCTGGTTGAAATCAAGTTAAGGTGAAATTAATCAAATTAAAACACGGCTGAGAGAGGGAGTCCAGTATGCGGTAGTCATAGGCAGTAGTCTGAGTAGCAGCGGCGGAGGCAGTCAACATTGCGGCCACGGAAAGTAATACGTCATGACGCCCATGTATTAAGCCCTATTATTAATATATTCTTACATGTTTTAAATGCTTGACAGTTAATTACCTGTGACAAAGTGAGCACTGCAGACTCTGGCGTGTTCCAGCTTAACACCGTCCAAATCGGACCTGGATATCCGTGTCAGCCATAGGTGACGGCGTGGTTCAGATAGCTGTTTTGTTTTTTCACATTGATTCACGATTACGGCTGGTATGCGATAGAGCGTTGATCTCCACCTCCACGGGCCGTGCAACCAACAATTACACACGATTTCACCATTCTTCACTGTCAATACTGCCTAAGGCTGCCACCAAATATGGCGGACGCGCTGAGTAGTCACGTGAGCGTAACGTCACCTGAAAACATTTTCATGCGTGTATTTCAAAGGTTGTCATCACAAACAGAAATACAATTGCAATCATATGATGAGTAACAAAAGCTTTTAATGTCAGAACGAGTTAATGCATTGTTGACCCCTCTTCTTCAGAACCTCTGCAATTCTCCCTGGCTGCTCTCAATCAACTTCTGGACCAAATCCTGACTGAAAGCGTCCATTCTTGCACAATCAACGCTTGCATTTAGTCAGAATTCCTAGGTTTTCGTTTGTCCGCCGTCTCTTGATGATTGACCAAGTTTTCAATGGGATTAAGATCAGGGGAGTTTCCAGGCCATGGACCCAACATCTCTCTGTTTGTTCCCTGAGCCAGTTAGATATCACCTTTGCTTTATGGCAAGGTGCTCCATCATGCTGGAAAAGGCATTGTTCATCACCAAACTGCTCTAGGACGGTTGGGAGACGTTGCTCTCGGAGGACATTCTGGTTCCATTCTTTATTCATGGCTGTTTTTAGGTCAGACTGTGAGAGAGCCGACTCCCTTGGCTGAGAAGCAACCCCACACATGAATGGTTCCAGGATGCTTTACAGTCAGCATGAGACCAGACTGCTGGTAGCGCTCACCTCGTCTTCTCCCAACCAGCTGTTTTCCAGATGTCCCAAACAATGGGAAAGGGGATTGATCAGAGAAAATGACTTTCCCCCAGTCCTCAGCAGTCCCCTCCCTGGACCTTTAGCAGAATATCAGTCTGTCCCTGATGGTTTTCCTGGAGAGAAGTGGCTTCTTTGCTGCCCTCCTTCAGACCAGGCCTTGCTCCAAGAGTCTCCGCCTCACAGTGCAGATGCACTCACACCTGCCTGCTGCCATTCCTGAACAAGCTCTGCACCACTGGTAGCCCGATCTCGCAGCTGGAACACTTTTCAGAGACGGTCCTGGCACTCGCTGGTCTTTCTTGGGCGCCCTGGAGCCTTTTTGGCAACAATGGAACCTCTCTCCTTGAAGTTCTTGGTGATGCCATAGATTGCTTACTGAGGTGCAATCTCTCTAGCTGCCATTCTGTTTCCTGTTCGGCCATTTTTTTGCAGTGCAATGATGACTGCACATGTTTCTTCAGAGATAACCATGGTTCACAGAAGAGAACCAATGATGCCAAGCAGCAGCCTCTTTTTAAAGTGTCCAGTGGCGTCATTCTGACTGAATCCTGACAGATTGATCTCCAGCCCTGTCCTCATCACCACCCACACCTGTGTTAATGGACCAATCACTGAAACAATGTTAGCTGCTCCTTTTAAGGCAGGGCTGCAATGACGTTGAAATATATTTAGGGATAAAGTTCATTTTCTCGGCAAATATTGACTTTGCAATTAATTGCTGTTATGCTGATCACTCTTTATAACATTCTGGAGTATATGCAAATTGCCGTTATAAAAACTGAAGCAGTAGACTTTGTAAATATTAACATTTGAATCATTCTCAAAACTTTCGGCCATGAGTGTATATTCTCGCAGATCCAGGTTTTGTTTTTCAAACTACAGTGGGGGAAGTAAGTATTCGACCCCTTGCTGATTTTGCAGGTTTACCCACTTACAAAGAATGCAACAATCTACAATTTAATCATATGTACATTCTAACAGTGAAAGACAGAATCCCAAAGAAAATTCCAGAAATTCACATCATATGAATTTATAAAAAATGATAACCATCTGATGAGGAAAAGCAACTATTTGACCCCCTACCAAACAGCATGTTAATATTTTGTAGAAAAGCCATTATCGGCCAGCACAGGTGTCAAACGGTTTTTATAGTTGGTGAGAAGGTGTGTGCACATTTCGGCAGGGATATTGGCCCACTCCTCCCTGCAGACAGCCTCCAAATCATTCAGGTTCCCAGGTTGTCGCCTGGCAACTGGGATTTTAAGCTCCCTCCAAAGATTTTCAATTGGATTCAGGTGTGGAGACTGGCTAGGCCACTTCAGAACCTTGATGTGCTTCTTCTTCAGCAACTCTTTTGTTGCTTTGGTGGTGTGCTTAGGGTCTTTGTGGTGCTGAAACACCCATCCTCCACCCATCTTCAGCTCTCTCACTGAGGGATGGAGATGTTGGTCCAGAATTATACGATACATGGCCCTGTCCATCCTCCCCTCAATACCATGGAGTTGTCCCGTCCCCTTGGCTGAACAGCACCCCCAAAGCATGATGTTGCCGCCACCCTGCTTGACGGTGGGGATGGTGTTCTTTGGGTTGTACTTGGTGTTCTTTGCCCTCCAAACACGACGAGTTGAGTTGAGGCCAAAAAGTTCTATTTTGGTCTCATCTGACCACATCACCTTCTTCCAGGCCTCTTCTGAGTCGTCCAGGTGGTGAACGGCGACCTTCATGCGGGCCTGTACATGTTTCTTCTTGAGCAGGGGGACCCTGCGTGCGCTGCAGGATTTCAATCCATGACGGCGTACTGTGTTACCAACCGTTTCTTTTGTAACTGTGGTCCCAGCTGCCTTCAGTTGATTCATCAGTTCCCCCCTTCTGGTTTTGGGACGATTCCTCACCGTTCGCATGATCAGGGACACCCCACGAGGCGAGATCTTGTGTGGAGGCCCAGACCGAGGGAGGTTGGCGGTGGTGTGGTGCTTCTTCCATTTCCTGATAACTGCACCCACAGTTGATCTTTTCTCTCCAAGTTGTTTCCGATTCTCTTGCAGCCCATCCCAGCCTTGTGCAGATCAACAATCTTGTCTCTAATGTCCGTAGAAAGCTCTTTGGTCTTGCCCATGGTGGTGATGTTGGATGCTGGTTGTTTGGGTGTTGACAGGTGTCTTTTATACAGGTAACAAGGTGAGGCAGGTGTATTTGATGTAGATAATTGGTTGGGATTGGGGCTGCATCTTAAAGAAAGACTAACTGGCTTGTAGGAGCCAGAATACTTGCTGTTTAGTAGGGGGTCAAATACTTGCTTTTCCTCATCAGATGGTTATCAATTTTAATAAATTCATATGATGTGAATTTCTGGAATTTTCTTTGGGATTCTGTCTCTCACTGTTAGAATGTACATATGATTAAAATTGTAGATTGTTGCATTCTTTCTAAGTGGGCAAACCTGCAAAATCAGCAATACTTATTTCCCCCACTGTATTTCAGCTGAAGCTTGATCTGTTTAAATCAGCAGATAAATGATGGAAGGAAAAGCTCTCAAAAACAAGCTGAGGTTTCTAAAATGGCTGAAATGTTGACATGATAAAACGTGTGAAGCTGAACACAGCAAACGGTTGACAGGATCTCTGCCCAGCTCCTAAATCAGCGATTCAGGGCCCGTGGAGCAGAAGACGTAATGTTTAGCTGATTCAGCCCACTGAACCACAGCAGTTTGATGCCGCTAAACTCTCTGGGGAGGAAACTTCACACCGTGTTCATCAGAGATCATCATGGTCATCAGAGCTGAAAGTTCCACAGGATTGTTCCAATAAAGTATTTCACCGGATGAAGTGGAGTAGAAACAACATAAAGACGGTCGTTTTTCTTTGATGAACTCCATGTACACTGGAAGGCCTCTTTACCGTCACCCTAATCTGTAGCACTGAGACTTTTCTACTATAACATGTTGATGAGAAACCAGAACCCCTGTAGGTCACTGGCTTCTCTGTCTCTACATGAACCAGTCTTTCTGCAAATGTCCACCAGGAAAACAAAAATGGAGAAATGACAAAGATGAATGAAGAAGAAGAGACGGTGGTTAGGAAGAATAGGGTTCTGACCATTTGGTCTGGTTGAAGCACTCCAGTTAGCCGGTGTAGGTACCAGATCTGCTCGCCTTGTCATATCTGCGCATGCCAATGACATAACGCTATATGATTGGCTGAACATTGCCAAATGATGTAAAACATTGTGGTTGCCTAGACAACGATAACATCAGGCAGCGTCCGTGTGCCGAGTCTGGGGCCGTTTCGCAATATGCGTTCTTGAGCGTGCTCGTGTACTTGTGACACGTCATCAGCCTCAGCCCGAGTACCGTTCCAATTCTCAAGAACGCCAGATCGAGAACGCATCAAATCCCCGGATGTTGTGCTCGCCCCGCCCTTTTTATCGAGCATGCATCAGAGCAGACTTGTGCGTTCTTCAGACTGACCGCTTCCCCAGAATGCCCCGCGGCCGCAGCTTGATTCCAGACGGCGCTCACAGTGCTAAGTTAAACATTCCCTTTTCTGCTGCTGCTGTTCTTCAAAAGTACGTTTTGAAATCGTTTGAGGCGATAACATTATACATTGAAGCCTCCCTGTGTGGCCTGTTTACAGAGTTAGTGCGAAAAAAAAAAAAAAAGTCCGACGTTGAGCAGACCAGAGTGACCAGCAGACCTCCGAGGGTAACCGCAGCCAGGGCTAAATTTACCCCGTCTGTAGTGCACTTCTCTCTGTCTAGTTATGTGTGAACTACCGCTCGTTCTGATGGCGGTTTTTTGCGGTTCGGTAATTTTTTTTATGTTTTTTAAGCTTTAGAAATTAAAAATATTGTTTACAAAATGTTTTGTGTAGGGAATAAATAGTTTTGACTGTTAAAGAAATGCTAAAGAACGTTGCATGTGATGACGTCACGAGTACGCTTCTGTTCCAATACACATACGTACTCGCGTTCTCGTGAATTGAGAAACGGCCTGGAGCTTTTGTAGCGTTAGCGTGTCTAATGATCAATGAAGTTTACTGGAATGATTACAAAACTAAAAATAACAGTTTATAGTGAACCAAGTAACTGTTAGACCATGATATAAAGGGGGGAGCTGGGTAGCGCTGTGGCTAGCTGTGCTCACTAGCTAACAGGCTAGCCTCTTTTAGCTCAGAAAGTTAGTGATATTAAAGGGGAACACCAGTTTTTTTACATTGGGCCCTTGATTTTTACGTTATTCCATCATGTTCTACTCATCCATATGAGTTTAGTGTCATTTGGAGCCGTTCTGAAGATATTCTGTTAGGTTATATCCAAGTAACGTCTTCCCATGGGCAACGACTTGAAGGCACAAACTAAACTGTTCATCATTTATTCTTTATGGTACGCCAGCATTCAGAACATGGAGGCCAATCACTGTCCCCCAGACATCCGCCGTTATATTTATATCTTTTAAAAACAAAGCGGCGCGTGTATGACGTCATCAGCGCGCGACAGTTCAGTTTGTGCCTTCAGTCGTTGCCCATAGGAAGACGTTACCTGGATATAACCGCAACAACGGAATATCTTCAGAACGGCTCCAAATGACACAAAACTCATATGGATGATAGAACATGATGGAATAACGTAAAATCAAGGAGTTAATGTAAAAAAAACGCGTTCCCCGTTAAGTTGCACTACTTTTAACTTTTTGTTAACCACGTTCGTTTTGTAATAACTGTTGTTTTATTTGTCTAAAATCTCCAAGTAACTCACTTAGTAAGATGTTCCATTTGTCTTCAGCTGCCCTCAGATCTTGATAAAAAGAATGTAAATAAGCAAATACTTTTTTTTGTTACCTTGTTAAATGGCAGTCAGCCTTGCCATATGATGACATCATAAGAAGGGGCAGGGCCCCGATCAGATCTGGTACCCTCACTGGTGCTGAGTGGTAAATGGCCTGTACTTTATAGCGCTTTTTCAAGTCAGAGGACTTGACCAAAGCGCTGACACTCAGTAATTCTCAGATTCACACACACAGTCACACATGCTGGGGAGCTAAATTGTAACCGACAGAAACAAGGCTGCTGTACATTAGCGCCACCAGTCCCCCAAACCACCATCAGTAGGCAATGCAGGTGAAGTTTCTTGCCCAAGGACAGAGCAACACTGAAGCCAGAGCCAGGGTTTTAACTGACAACCCACTGGTTGCAGGGCAAACTCTGACGCCCCTGAACCCTGTGTTTGTGTTGTTTCAGCACCAAGGAACAGAGCCTGGTCCTCAGCAGCAGCCTGGAGTCTCTGAAGAAGGGGAAGGAGGTTCTACAGGACAAGCTGGGTTCTCTGGAGAACCAGCACCTTCAGGATGCCAGCAGGTTAAAGCAGCAGCTGGATCAGGCCCAGGCCCGAACACACACCCTGCAGAAAGAGGTACTCCCATGTTTGCAGTGCTTCATGTAGGCACACACTCACAGAGGTTCTCTCAATACTTGGTCTGTGTTTCCAAATGGGTGGTCTGGATCACCAGTCCTCTGGGTCAGTTTGTAGAGATGCTGTGATGGAGCCCATGGTTCTGCTTTCTCTCCTCTCCTGCAGTATGAAGACACTCAGTCGCAGCTGATGGACCTGCGTCAGCGCTACCAGCAGACGGAGCAGGAGAAGCTGAACATACACCAGGAGCTGGAGCAGTGCCGGAGCAATCTGAAGCTGCTGCAGGACAAGACCAGCTCTGTGAGTCCGAAGCACCCAGGCCAGAAAAAATGACTTGCTGGGGGTTCCCACCATAGAGCTCATTTCGTATCTGCTAGCACCTCCATGTTTGAAGAGACGTTCACAGCGAACGCCACAGCAGACTATTTTCATATTGGTCAGTGGACATTTCAGCTCCCTGCAGGTCATTTTAACATGTCGGCCCTAACGCCTCCATCACTATATAGAGCGGCACTATTTACCGGACTTTATAGTGAAGTCGGTTAACTGACTATTTGGACGGAAGATCACTACTTTTCGCTCCGCGACGCTCACGTCACTCTACCTCCTTGCATGGTGTCTGTGCATCTTTGGTCTCTCTCATGATGCTTTGCGAGAGCTCCTGCAAAGCATTCTGGGATATATCCGCTTGTATGGTGACCATTAGGGATGGAACGGTTTATGAAAACCGTCCGAAACGTTTGGTTCCACTATAATAATAATAATAATAATTCATTTAATTTATAATGCACTTTTCACCAAAAAGGCCTCAAAGTGCTACAAAAAAGCATTAAAAAAGAAATACATAGAGATAAAAGAAATAAAATAAAGTAATAAAAGCTCTTTTAAAAGAGAAAAAAAACATCTAAGGGGGACCAAAAGTTTTGCTAAAAAGAAATGTTTTAAGGCCTTTTTTAAACACTCAGTGGACTGAGGCGTCTCGGTTCGGTTCGGGTGTGTTTCGTTCGGTTCATGCGCTGCTCCTTTTTCTCATAGGCGAAGCGTTTACACTCCAGAGCAGAAGGTGGCGGTACTGCGACCAAAGCCAACCACCAGTAGTAAACAAGAAGATGAAGCGAAGCAGCGTAGCCGGGTGTAGCAGAAAAAAATCAGTTGTTGTGGAGAATTGTGTCGGAATGGCGAGTGGGAAAGAACAGGAGTTGGAAGATGCACCAGCAGCACTTTATAGGTCTGCTGTATGGGAGCGCTTTGCATTTAGAGTGACCTACGATGACGGCGGAAAGAAAGTTGTGGATAAAAACAGTGTGCAAGCATTGTGCAACACGTTTGGTTTATGCTAACAGCAACACGACCAACATGTCATGCTAACCCCGGAATCCCTCATACTCTGTCAGCGCTCCGCCCCGCTGCGCTCCAGACCGGCTGCTCAAAGCAAAGCATACAGCCTCCGCTGTGGCTCCCGTCCGCTCCGCTCTGAGTTCCTTGGAGATCGTAGTGGACAAGCGTGAGATTATTAAATTCAAAGCAGCAAATGATCCAGGGTTTCCGTGGATCATTAAAAATAACAATTCATTAATTAATTTTATTTTTTTTCATTAATTTCATGAATTTGTATGGAATTTCGGTGTAACAATAAATAAATACCGAACCAAAAACCGTGAACCGAACCGAACCGGGGATTTTGTGAACCGTTCCACCCCTAGTGACCATGGATACTCACTACTTTTCAAGGCGTTTTTTCATCCACTAGATGTTTGGACCATAGACATTATATACGTAAACGCCAAGATGGCCACCCTCTGGGTACGTTTGCCTCGCTGCCGACAGCATCCAGTGAGGCGCGACTAAAATGGCGCGACCACTATATTGTGCCTTATACGGGTTAGGGCGAATGTTTCGACACAGCCGTAGAGATCCAAAACTGCTGGAACAACTTCCAAGTTGCATGAAGCGGGCGATGAACTAAAAAAGAACATCTGCAACACTTGATTGGAGAAAAACGCGTTTCAGATGTGGCGCACAACCGAAACTTGTTGATCTCCAATAAATTTTTCCTCACCAAGCCATTTTTACGGTTAAATCAGTTATCTTTTAACAAATGTCTAATTAGCATCCAGGTGTAGCGATTATATTCAGGAACGACTTGCCGTACTTACTACCACAACAGCAAAAGCTTCACTGCATAACCAATCAGGAGCTTCAAGGCACTTCCTACTGGCTCCACTGCCCAACATCGCTGTTTGCTCCACCTTCCTGGACTCTGTTTGGTACAAAAGCCCTGAAGACGCATCGCTGACCGCCCGTCGCCTCTGAATACGCTTCAACTTCCTGCCCACGTGGAAACAAGTCGCTTGTTTTTCGTTCGGTGTGGACGTACGTTTAGACGCCAACAATAAACATTTTCTTGACAGATCAGATCAACATTCTGCTAAAATCTCTGTGATATTATTATTCAATCCAGAACAGATTTATCAGCCGATCAATGGCCCGTTTAGTTTCTACTGATCCATTCAGGCTGTAGCTGTGAAATATTGAGGCGGAGCAGCTTTTTCTCCTCATCTCCTCCTCGCTGAAAAAAAGATCTAGAAATAAGTAAAAATGTCTTAAATGAAGTGTATTCACCCTTAATCTGAGCAGGTAAATGAGATGTTTGCCAATGGAATTAGTATTTTACTAATAAGATCATTAGATGACAAGAAAATGCAATTGCGTTTTCTGATTTTAAATGTAAATCGTCCTGTTCCTTTGGCCAAATGTCTCTCTTACCTCAATTCAAGAACAAATGCACTTTTTTTTACTTACCTAGATTTAGATTTTTTCAGTGCTCTCCACATCTCAGGTCATTGTTCTCCTCAGCTCTTCATCCAACGCTTCAGAACCTTTACCAGTTTTCTTCTGACTGATGGATACGGAAGAGGATTAGGGCCACTGAAAAATAAAAAAAAAGTGAACTGATTTTTAAATTTTATTTCAGTTTAACATGGGAAAAAGTCAGAATTCTGACTTTTTTCTCAGAATTCTGACTTTAATCTCAGAATTCTGAACTTTTTCTCAGAATTTTGACTTTTTTCATTGTCATAATTCAGTCAAAAAAGCTAGAATTCTGAGTTTAAAGTTCAATATTCTGAGATTAGTCAGAATTCTGAGAAAAAAGTCAGAATTCTGATTTTAAAGTCAGAATTCTGAGTTTAAAGTCAGAATTCTGAGGGAAAAAAGTCCGAATTCTGAGAAAAAAAAGTCCGAATTCTGAGTTTAAAGTCAGAATTCTGACTTTAATCTCAGAATTCTGACTTTTTTTTCCTCAGAATTCTGAACTTTTTCTCAGAATTCTGACTTTTTTCATTGTCATAATTCAGTCAAAAAAGCCAGAATTCTGAGTTTAAAGTTCAATATTCTGAGATTAGAGTCAGAATTCTGAGAAAAAAGTCAGAATTCTGAGTTTAAAGTCAGAATTCTGAGTTTAAAGTCAGAATTCTGAGGGAAAAAAGTCAGAATTCTGAGAAAAAAAAGTCAGAATTCTGAGTTTAAAGTTCAGAATTCTGAGATTAAAGTCAATTCTGAGGGAAAAAAGTCAGAATTCTGAGAAAAAAAAGTCAGAATTCTGAGTTTAAAGTTCAGAATTCTGAGATTAAAGTCGGAATTCTGACTTTAAACTCAGAATTCTGAGTTTAAAGTCAATTCTGAGGGAAAAAAGTCAGAATTCTGAGAAAAAAAAAGTCAGAATTCTGAGTTTAATCTCAGAATTCTGAGTTTAAAGTCAATTCTGAGAAAAAAAAGTAAGAATTCTGAGTTTAAAGTTCAGAATTCTGAGATTAAAGTCAGAATTCTGACTTTAATCTCAGAATTCTGACTTTTTTTTCCTCAGAATTCTGAACTTTTTCTCAGAATTCTGACTTTTTTCATTGTCATAATTCAGTCAAAAAAGCCAGAATTCTGAGTTTAAAGTTCAATATTCTGAGATTAGAGTCAGAATTCTGAGAAAAAAGTCAGAATTCTGGGGGAAAAAAGTCGAAATTCTGAGAAAAAAAAAAGTCAGAATTCTGAGTTTAAAGTTCAGAATTCTGAGATTAAAGTCAGAATTCTGAGGAAAAAAAGTCATAATTCTGAGATTAAAGCCATAATTCTGAGATTAAAGCCAGAATTCTGAGGAAAAAAAAGTCAGAATTCTGAGATTAAAGCCAGAAGTCTGAGTTTAAAGTCAGAATTCTGAGATTAAAGTCAGAATTCTGACTTTTTTCCCATACTATACTGAAATAAAATAAAAAAAAATCAGTTAACATTTTTTTTTTTCATTGGCCCTAATCCTCTTCCGTAGATGGAGGTTAAGAAAATCAATGAATTAATTCTGCAGCAAAGACTCAGATGTAGATTATTTTAGTGTTGATAGTCCCTACTCAGCAGCTTCAAACTGTTCCTCCTGGATTAAGGGACCATCCAGGTTTTTGTTGATGTTAAAGTCCCTCCTGGATTAAGGGACCATCCAGGTTTTTGTTGATGTTAAAGTCCCTCCTGGATTAAGGGACCATCCAGGTTTTTGTTGATGTTAAAGTCCCTCCTGGATTAAGGGACCATCCAGGTTTTTGTTGATGTTAAAGTCCCTCCTGGATTAAGGGACCATCCAGGTTTTTGTTGATGTTAAAGTCCCTCCTGGATTAAGGGACCATCCAGGTTTTTGTTGATGTTAAAGTCCCTCCTGGATTAAGGGACCATCCAGGTTTTTGTTGATGTTAAAGTCCTTGAACCACAGAGGAGGTCATCTGCTGACCTTAGACAACCTTTCTGTTCTCCTTCCTTCCCCTCCGCTGTAGCTGCTCCATCCTCCATGTTTGTTTTTTGGTTGATTTGCTGGCTGATTTCTTCTTATCCCTCTCCTCCCCACCCCCCACCCCCCCTTCTAGCCATCCATATTGCAGCCTGTCCAAGCCATATTCATGGGCCTAGTCCTGGCTCTGCTCTACTGGTGTTTCGGCCAGTTGTTGTAGAAAGGTACTCACCGACATCACATCAGTCTGTCCGCGCTGCCTCTGTCTGTCTGTCCGCTTTGGAGGGGGGGGTCCATTGAGGTGAAGTTCTTGTTCTGATCCACATTCGGTTAAGGGTCCAGCTTGTGTTTGGCCCAGGGAGGGACGTTCCCCTTTAGAGGGATGGACGTTCTCCTTTAGAGGGATGGACGTTCTCCTTTAGAGGGATAGAGGTTCTCCTTTAGAGGGACGGACGTTCTCCTTTAGAGGGATGGACGTTCTCCTTTAGAGGGACGGACGTTCTCCTTTAGAGGGACGGACGTTCTCCTTTAGAGGGAT